AATTCTATACATTTGAGGTTTTAACAACGTTAAGTAAACCCAGAAGTGTACCAATTTCATTCAAATTTTAGCATTGCACGCATGCGCATGTGAATGCATTAGCGTAATGACTATATCATCTTGTCTAAACAATCTATACATTTTTATACATTAAACATTTATGTATTTAATCCAAAATCATTAAATATACGCTCATTCAAATGTATTTTTGATTTTACTCATTTCACGTGCACGCACGTGCATATATTAGCATGGTGACCATACCTTCTTGTAGAAGTCAATTACAAAGTCATCTATCTATGATCTAAATCCCACCCCGTTTGGTTGAAAACCTAGAGAGTTATAACTGTTTAAAGTTTCAGCCAATCAGATTGCAGCGCACGTACACGCACGTGCATTGCATGTACATAGTGACCATGCCGTCTTGTGGAAGTCTATTATATATATCTATGTTCCAAATCCCATCCTGTTTGGTTGAAAACCAAGGGAGTTATAGCTATTTAAAGTTTCAGCCAATCAGATTGCAGCGCACGTGCATACACGTGTTTTCATGATAATTGCTATATATCGTGTTGTAGGATATCGTAATGCAAAGCTATGATAAAAATTTCAAAGGATTTCGTCAAAAAACAAGAAAAATATTGAGACTTAAGTTTCAGCCAATCAGAGCAAAGCGCACGTGCATGCGCGTGAGATCTTGCTATTTTGACCATGTCATCTAGTGTATACTACTAATATATCCTTACATTATGAGTTTCAAACCATTTCATCAAAAAATAGAAAAGTTTAGTCAAAATACCTTATATTGGCCATTTAACGTGTTGCACGTGCGCGCTCTTGCAAGCACGTGCGCGCAAAATGACCTTTGTTCGGCAAATCTACATAACATCCCTAGTGACCCTAAAAAGGATTTACCTAAGTCGGATGTATAGTTTACAAGATCACTCGCGGACAAAATTTTCCCAGGAAGAAAAATAATAAGAACTAGAGCAAAGCTCGTTGCAAAGCAACGAGTGGGTCTTCCTTCCAAGCGATCAGCAAAAGATTAAATGTTTCTGTCTAGATTGTCAACTTTGCTAACATTCTCTTTTTCGATTTGTCTCAAAAACCCTTACTTGAATTCTTTAATTTGGTGTGAGCATGAGGTCTAAAGGGTACTCTCTCTAACAGCATTCTTGAAATCGTATCCACAACAGTTAAACTTCCAATATTATGACTTTTGATATCGGATATATCATCTTTGTTACAATTATGTTTGTGAAACGTGTCATACTACAGAAACATAAGTGTTTTGCTACATTACCATCTTAAAAATGGCTTAAAAATCATTTAATATACAATATAACTAGGTAAATAAAATAAACAAATTTTTATATAATAAAACAAAAAATCCAAATGTATTTACAATAATGATGAACAATCTTCATTAGTTGCAATCAGTAAGTAGAACAATACTTTTATAATAAACGCACAGAAATGTGTTGTGTATATTTCGAATTTGCAGCTTTCCACTAGCAACTGGTGGTACCTCAATAGGAGTGTAAAATTCTCTGAAAGGTTTATTGTAAACATATTACATATGGCTGTGTATTCTTTTTTTAGCGGCTTTTGCGGAATGCAGCAATCACTAAATCAAGTACAAAGCTAAAAGTTTTGTACATAAATATAAATAAGAATATCTACGCTAACTTATTCAAAAGTCAATTTCCACCAAATATTGTACATGCTAAATATAATACATTTACAGCATTAAAGAAACAAATCTCTTTGAAAGTATTGCCCTGCATAAGAACAATTTGAATCCCTACACTAAGGATGCTCTATGCCAAGTTTCACTTTGGTTCTGGAAAATGATATTGTGAAATTTTAGACAATGATGATAATGGATAAAATTATGTTTTTAAAAAATTTACTTGTTCCTTTAGCTCAGATGGGCTAATAAGTATGCAACAGGCACAGTTTTGCAGTTGACATTGAAATGTGACTGGACATCTCTTTAATCTTGTTTTAGAAAACTACATGTACATGCCCTATGTATTGAATTCCTTGGAATCATACACATGTATATGACTTTATTTAATTGTATGAGCCAAAATAATTTTTTTTTTTACATTATACTGTAAAAATACACATACATGTATTACAAGATCTTATATTCCTGCTGAAGACAGAGGATCTATCTAAATCATTAGAATAAGTAAGTCTAAACTTTGAAAGGGAAGACCTTAATAAAGAGGTCAACATGCAACACAAACAAAATATTATTATATTTAAAAATAACATTTTGTCCAATGTAATTACTGGTACATGTATTTCTGTTACAAAAACTATTTCACTTGAAAAACCGAGAGCAATTGATATGCTCATATTTGTGGATTTATGTTGTGAAATCAAAATTTAAAAATGATACACAGTGTGTTTAAAAGTTGTCGTCACAAACCAAAACTTGACTTATTTTCACTATGCTGTTTATTCCATGTCACATCCAAACAGATGATCTTCTGGCAAATCACGGTCATGCTTGGTATCAAAATTCAGTATTCAGATGAGTCACACCTATCAAAAAGAAATTTAAATTTTTTAATTTATAATTCTTTTATCAATAAAACATGCAATTCATGAGATTATAAATTAGATTATAAAATTGAGTTCTAAGATATTGTCACATTTTCCCTGTATAATTTGTAAATTTTAATGTACTCTTTCATCAATTAAAAGAAGTTTACACCAATCAAGGCAGTCATTTATGCTATTCCCTAATAAGACAACATACAAGTGCAAAGTAATAATGCACTAGCGGGTCTAGGATAATGTGCTAGAGTATTTATGACAACATACTAGCACGAGGTGACAATGTGCTAGCATGTACGTCAGTGATAATATGCCAGCACACTGAATCCAACACGCAGTGAAGCTAACACTCAACAGATTGTTTAGAGTTCTGTTTGCATGATATTTTGTTTTGTGTTAACACAGCAGCCTGTTGTTTAAAGCTGCATTGGAGTGGCAGTCTGTTGAAATTAACATGCTAACACACTGCAACTTCACATCATTGGAACACCATAATTTTAATAACTGGCAAACCAATATCTTATGATTACTAACTAGGTAATTGCAACTGTAAATGCTGATTTCATGTTGACAATAATACCGGTAATTCACTGTATATCTGAGAACTGATCAATCATAATAAGGTGTGTCCAGATAGGGCCACTTGCTAAAGCTCAATAGCACTTTCATAAAAACGTGCCATCTTACTGACACAAAAGATGCCATTAGGCTATCACACAGCTCGCCATCACAACACTGAAAAACACTTTCGCACTAACACAAGTTTGCACCACACGCTGTCACACTAACACACAACACACTGTGACGCTAATACAATTTCACACAACAAAATATCAGGCTAACACAAGTTCACACAACACACTATCATGCTAACACGAATTCACAAACACGCTGTCTTGCTAACACAAGTTCACACAACACGCTGTCTGGCTAACACAAGTTTACACAACACGCAGTCTCGCTAATATGAGTTTATACAACACACTGTCTAGCTAACACAAGTTCACACAACACACTGTCACGCTTAGATGAATTCACACAACACACTGTCACGCTAACATGAGTTTACACAACACGCAATCTCACTAACATGAAATTACACAATACACTGTCACGCTAACACGAGTTTACACAATACACTGTCACGCTAACACAAAGTCACAAAACAGGCTGTCTCACTATTCACTAACACAAGTTCGCACCAAACGCTGTTGCGATAACACACTGTCATCCTAAAACCATTTTCACACAACACACTGTCATCCTAATACCATTTCACACAACACACTGTCAGGCTAACACGAGTTCACACAACACACTGTCACGCTAACACAAATTCACAAAACAGGCTGTCTCACTATTCACTTACACAAGTTCGCACCAAACGCTGTTGCGATAACACACTGTCATCCTAATACCATTTCACACAACACACTGTAATCTTAATACCATTTTACAAAACACACTGTCAGGCTAACACGAGTTTACACAACACACTGTCACGCTAACACAAATTCAAAATACATGCAATATCGCTAACACGAGTTCACACAACACGCTGTCTCTCTAACACGAGTTTACATAACACACAGTCTCGCTAACAAGAGTTCACACAATATGCAATATCGCTAACACAAGTTCACACAACACACTGTCTCTCTAACACCAGTTCACACGACAAATTTTCAGGATATGCGAATCAAACTAATGCGAATTAAATTGCGTTCACACAACAGCCAATGCGAAGTAAACTAATGCGAACTATTATGACGTCATTTGCAAATCACATCACCTTATGCAGGAGCATATGCATTTGACATAATGTTACAGTGTCTGTACACACACTTTAGTGATTAACACAATTTTCCTTAGTTTTTCACTCAAAAATAGCACAACTACTTCAATTTGACCACGGATATGTGGAATTTGACCTAATTTTGCCATTACGCATGCCTCAAAATTTTATTCGAATTAGCTTCGCTTAGCGTTCAAACGGAGCTAATGCAAAGTAATTTAATGCGCAGTAAACTAATTGAATTAAACTAATTCGCATTAAATTCTCCGTGTGAACGCTTAGCGAAGCTAATTCGCAGTAACTTTACGTTTAATTCGAATTAAACTCTCCGTGTGAACAGTGCATATAACTAAATTGTACAAGTAAAATTCAGCATGAAGTTAATAAGCAATATACATGTGTTTATACTGCCTTCAGTATATGCATTTTATACTGCATGTCTTGTATATATACATGTACGTGTTAATATGGTATCACTATACATGTTTCATAATAATTAGTATCTTATAATATTAAGTATTGACAAAAAAATATATTAAGACTGAAGTGCAGTATTTTAATTAATCTACAATGATTCATATAAATACTCTCCTTAAAATTAGAAAAATCTTACTTCAAATGATACTATAAGTACCTGTGCTTTTCTTAGAAAGACAAGTGGTTCCTTCAAATGTTCCACTGGTGGGTTTGGATACTGAAGTTTTGGGTGTGTTTGGAGGAACCTGTATATTGCATTCCTAAGTTTTCTGTCCCAGCCTAATGAAAATATAATAAAAGATCATCATATTGAAAAAAATATTTAATATTAAACAAGAGGCCCACATTGCTCACCTGAGTAGCTTTGGCCATGCTGTTCTTTACCAGATTTCTCCCTTGTAATACATATTGTGACCCCACCCTACCCCATGGGTCATAATTTGGAGAATTTAAAATCTTAAAAAGTCACTACCCCAGGATGCTTTCACACAAGTCTTAGTTTTTCTGGCCAAGTGGTTCTTGACAAGAAGATTTTTAAAAATTCTTAATATTTCAATGTAAAACTTGGATTCCAAATTGTGACCATGCCCTACCCCCCGGGTCATGATCTGAACAATTTTAAATCTACATAACCCATTTAGGATGCTTTCACATAAGTTTAAGTTTTTCTGGCCCAGCGAATCTTGAGAAGAAGATTTTTAAAGATTTTCCATATTTTAATGTTAAACTTACTAGGTTACCTTTTGTGGCCCTGTCCTACCCCCGGGGGTCATGATTTGAACAATTTAGAACCTACACTACCCTAGGATGCTTCCACATAAGTTGACATCATCTGATATTTTGGCAGCAATGAAAATGTATGAAGCTTGAGATTTTCATCACTGCATGAATCTCATGCCATCCCAAGTTTGGCCATCTGTTAAGAAATTTCCCTTAAAAAATTAGATTATCATTTACTCTTGTTAAAGAATTTAAAGAAAAGTGAAAGATTACCAGAGTTTACAAGACCATTTAGAACTCCCTTTTTAAGTTCAGACAGCCTCAGGGTTGGTTTGGCAATTTCTACCTGAAATAAGAAAGGAAAGATGTGTTTTAATAAACAACCACAATGCACATATGTCAGTGTTTTTTTTTTCTACATTATATTCCCTTTGAGATAAGAACCGACCACAGGCACATGCTTCTTGAATAAATGACATTGTTAATGCTTTAAGAGGGTTTTCGAAAAGTATGTGGACAATGTCAATCTTCGTTATACTACTTTCAAGAAATTACAAATAAGCTCCAAATCCTGTGTAAAAATATTTGTTTTGTTGATGTGTAAAGTTTCATTTCATTCGATTTAATAGAAATCAATTTACTTCGTTTTAAAATTAACAGGTTAAGTACCCACAAAACATACTTAGAGACCATGTAACGTAAAAAACATAGCATCAAGAACTTCTTAAAAATACTATCCCTTTACATTTCAACAGTTTAATTAGTTCAATAATCACTTATCAAAAACCTTTTTCTAACACTTGAAATTCATTTCTTGTTGGATAATTTCCTTTGTCAATGTTTTAATTTCTTTTACCACTTAGCTGTGCTTTCACAAGATCAGCAACTCACAATGTCTTTCCGTGAAATTCCAAATTTTAAAAGTTTTTGATAATTCTAAGTTTTTGTCAGATAAAGAAATCATTTCCTCACAAATTGTCCTCATCCGATACAGAGTCAGTCTGTCACTCAAATACGGCCTGTACTATTTATAAACACATGTTCAACTTAACTGTGACTTAATTTTTGATGCCTTTAACATTTTTAGAGTTTATTTACGATTTTCCCTGAGTATAACACAAAATTGCATCGTTATCTCCTGCTCTGTGACATTCAACAACGTAATCATTTTTGTTGCTTTCAATGAGGATTACATAACTTCCCAAACTGATTTCTATTCAATGAATCAAAACATTAAGTCATAATTTGGAATATGATCGATCGAATCAATGTAACAGTTCTTAATAATTTAAAATTCTAGGATTTTTTCTGTTTTTATTCCATTTTACAGAGAAAATGACTACAGACATTGTCATATTTATTTCGTGTGTTGTTTGTGAATTTCTAAATTTTGACCTGCTCCCCAATCTGATTTTTGCACTTTTAAATTCTGTATAGGTTTGAAATATATATATATGATAATTTTAAAAATTTTTAAATCAATCACGGATTTATTGTTAAAATATTTCTACCAAATTTGGTTAGCATATGACGTTAAATAAAAAAGATATGACAGGAGTCCACAAACTTTTTGAACAACCATTGTATCAACAAAACTTAAACGAATAATAAACATGCCTTGATTTAATAAGAGATTGCAGAGAAATCGTCAATAAAACAGTTCTTCATTAAAATCAGCCCTGTTTAGGCTTCGGTTCGGTAAAGCAACAGGCATATGACGTGATGTGACATCAGAGTCTTAGACACACAGAATGTCACGTGCGGTTTGATGAACCCGATCTAAGTGAAAACTGAATAATCATCTGCTCTCGCCCTAACGGTCGCACCATCAACATATTAAAACTTTTTTTAAACATGACTTATAAAAACTTTGTGTGTGTTTGTGTGTGTGGTTTTTTTTTACATTGATATACATGATATCATGGATATATTTTAGAATGTTTAACAGAAAAATCACATCAGATTTGCAGTATGTAACCCAAATTTTTATAGTTGAATCCACACTTTTCAAAAGTTATGTCCCTTGGCCGCCATCTTAGGGGATAAACCCATAGAATCCTCACAGTACCCTTTGTAGTTTTCAGGTTTGTAACTTTGTCATTTGACTGGGAAAAATTGTTGCATAGTGTACATACTGATTGCCCCATGCTGGGGCTAACCACACATCCAAAGAAAACAATTTAAACACAGTGGATTCATCATAGCCCGGCCAAATGTTTGGTAGCATGAAGAGGAGAAAGGTTGCTTCTTTCCCTTTTGACCTTTTGGTTGACCCCGCAAAGGGAAACAACTTTTGTAAAGTGTGGATTGGTCTATAGGTCTTCCATTAGGTATTTCCTTCATGTATATTTACTAAATTCTCAGAATGAGGGTATTTACAGAAACAATCATTCCTCATGTTAGCAGGTGCTTGAATGTGGACAGATACGTCTGAGATTCAAGAGAAAACCTACATATCAACAGGGACCTATATACTGTATGAAAACACTATAATTTGCAATTGCATATCAAAACTTTTACCTGTGCAGCAAATTGGAGGTCGGTGTAGATTTTGGACGTTTTCAACTCGTCTATTAGATTTTGAATGTAGGCCTTGGAAAAATTCGGATCTCCCATCTTGACTTGAGTCCTTAGCAACTACAGCTACTTTCTACATTCTTGCACTGATTTATCACGCCTGTTTGAATAGATGAATGATATAGATAATTGGTTGCTTTCTCTCCTTAAAAGAAAGCCCACATTAAGAAAACGAGATATAATTTATCAACTAACCAAGTCTCTTTTTTTTTACCTCGAATATGCATACACTTAAATTAACTCCACCAACAGAAGAGTTCTTCATATGATAAAAACTGATTCTAGTCGGGCATATATCCGGAATGTAATAGGGTGTTATTCAATCAAGAAATACTTTTCCAGGATATGAGTTCACAACCATGACATAATTATCTCTGAATGACAGGGAGATATGCTGCTTCTTTATATAAGTACTAGTGCTGTCTCAAACTTGAATTGTCATATATCTTTTAGATCTTTCTTGCCTCCACTACTTCATATATAATTTGTTTTTTGTTTATAAATTCAATGATTTATAATATGCCCATTAGGGTATAATTGAACATCGAAAGTTTATAATTTATTCACTTACTTGGTAAACTTACATATTGCTTCCCTTAGCCGATTAAATGCAATTTCAATTACTCAAAATGGAGCTGATCTTCATCAGTGGCCATCCAGCTGTACCATTTAGTTGTATTTTGACTAACATATTTTATACCAAGTATTATAACTTTGTTTTCATAATTTTTTTTTCTGTTCTTTCTGTCTACTTGATCATTGCATGTATAAAGCTCAGAGTGGGTGTGAGTGATCGACAGGGGATGCTGATTTATCTCTTGGGCCACCGATTCGGATCATTCCACCTCTGAAATTTCCTGCACTTATTCGTATAGTTTTTAATACTCTACTCAGATAATGCCCCCTATGAATTTGATATGATAGGAACATAATGGACCATCAAATTAATTTTATGGGAAAATATTAAGGAAGAAATCTCTGCACATCTCAGGAACATCAGTGCCACAATTATACATGTATAAGTCATGTGAATAAAGAACTACATAAAGTATCCTCATGCAGGTAATGGGGATTCAGTTCATTCAAAGAAAGGATCTATTGGGGAATGAAAACATTTTAGGATTTTTTTTTTTACTCAAGTACGTGTACAGGAGAGCCATAATTATCACGTTAAGAACTCAAATATTCCAAATAACATAAGTTCACATTCAAATGTTGTCAACCGGGGTACACGTAATACAGAGCCATAATGGAAAATAAAAAAAATATACAAGGGAATATGTAAAAATGTTTACTTAAATTCACTTAATTAAAGAAGAGTAAAACTTGTTTTTTTTATGATAATTTATTGACTAACAATAAATGAAAACAAATAAATACCCGACAATACATGTATCAATATTGACATCAATATATACAGAATAATAAATATCATCATGTATAAATATAAATCTTTTAAATTGAATACATTAATTTATATTGTAAAGAGAAAAGATTTTTTTCATAAAAAGCTAAAAATTTAAACAAAAACTTAATTTCATAATAAACAAATTATTGCAGAATTTTGCAAGCTTCATATTTTCAATTATTGTTGAAAAAAATGATGTTTTTTTTTTTTTTTTTTAAAAAAACTCAAAATTGCATAAGCTTTAAAGTTGTGTACCTACATGTATTGAATCCTTTGATCGCTGTGAAACGGAAAAATATTACTAGATCTGCCATTTAAATTTCCTAACTGCAAACTTTCACATTTTGAATGTGTTTTGTTTTTTCCAATATGAAATGAAGACCAATTTAAACCTAGCCATTACCATTCCTTTCCATTTATGTTAAATTAAGTTATAAATTTATAGGAAATAAATGTACTAGTCAATAAATAACAATAAGAGAGATAATTATCAAAATATCAAAATTTCATATATATGTACAACCAGTGCAAAAATATATACACATTTATTTCTTCAATTAGCACACACACAAAAAAAAAATGTTTATTAAAGAATAAGGGGTTATCATCAGTATTACAATGTACAGCTAATTCCCCTTTAAAATCAAATGTGTTACTGTAACAAAATCATTTGCATGTAATATATCACTCCAGGCACGTAGCATTGATTTTGAAAGTGGGAGGGGCCAGCTACAGAATTTTTCTTACTCGCCTGAAAAAGTTGACAAGCAAAAAAAAAATAAAATAAAAGGAAAATTGGCCAAAGTCGAAAATCCTATTTTTTTTTGGGGGGGGGAGGGGGTAGAGGTAATTTTTTTTCATGAATTCTTTCAATATCCATTTTTAAGCTCACAATACTATATTTTCTTCATATTACTTTACTTTAGTATAAAGTGTCCAGCCTTTCAATGAACATTTTCAATAGTGTGTTACTGTAACAAAATCATTTGCATGTAATATATCACTAAGATTATAAAGTTGTAAATATTTAAAATAGGAGTGAAACAAAAGTCTCCTTCATGGTACGATATGTACCATATAATTTTGTATCAGTACCTTTATTTTTTATTAGATACCTACATTTTGTTGGAAAGGAAACAAATTTAGCATAGTTCTAGCCACTTCATTTACAAGCAAATTGACAAGAAATTGATATTTATAAATATGATTTGACTATTAAAAATTATTTTACAAACTATCAGTCCTCAAAAATTTATAATAATATTATGTTTTGAATACTAAATTATGCTAAGCAACATTTGACCTTTGTTCAACCTTACTGAATATTGAATAAGGATCCCGATGGAAAAATGAACCAAACTGAAAGTGGAGATTTTGCAAAATGTATCAAACTGAGAAAAAATACCATAGTGAAACCATACTGCTGTAAACTGTTTCACTCCTAATTTAAAATAGATGCAAAAAGAACATTATTCATTACCTTGCTATACAAGATTTTAAGTTACATGCTATAAATTGTCAAGAAAAAAAAGCATCTCCAGAAACAAGAAATATTGAGAAATACTGGTACATGAAGTAGTTATTTTGTGTAAAGATATATAAAGCGTCAATCCTTTTGTCAAAAGACAAACAGCACATTTAATCAACCTCAGAATAGATTTTCAATTTTTCATGATAGAAATCATATTCATACACAGAGAAAAACTTTTGGTACTGAATAACAATGTGCCTCTCATAAAGAGAGAAGAAAAAGAATAGGAAAAAGTACAAAAATGAGATAATACCTATATGTGAACAACATCAAAATAACATATATTTCAATCATAAAATAAATATGAATACATATGTATATGTCAGTCAAGAAACCAGGTTTGATTTGAATCCCAGATATATGTTTTTTTTTTTATCCCACGGGAGAATCATTTATCTCCCCCTGCCAGGCTGGCCAGACAGCCACAGAAGCAGATACAGCAACAGGAGGTACCCAGTAGTATGTAGGTCGCAGTGGTCAGCCAGAAGGCATAGTCATACAGTATGGGGTTACAGTAGTTGTGCTGTCCCGGTACTGTGCTGTACGTCTCATAAGTTCTGTAGATCACAACATTCCCTGTGTTAAAGAAATAGTATTACATGTAAGATCACATTAAAATAACTGGAGAGAATTTTTATGAAGGATTCCTTGAAGCTGAAAAATAGTTATAATTATGGAAATGACAGAATTTTCACATTGATTATGAAGTAAATTTTAGTAACTGCATAATACGTTGAAATTTATTCTGAATATTTCTTTCTCATAGATTAATAAATTTCTTTTTTTTTTTAAATGTACCAAGTAAAACAAATCATACAATTAATATGCATTTAAAATATTGTCTGAAAAAGATTTCTCAACAGAAATACATAAATAAATGTGGTTCAATGTAATTATGTTTTTTTCATTTACTTTTCTCTCTTTACTCACCAAAAATAAACCAAACCAAAAGAAAACAGTTCAACATGGAATCAAACTTTGTGGTTTTCACATTGTCATCTTCTGCATTTTCTCTGTCATTCTTTACTTTCTGACAAAGACTTGAAAAATTCTTAATGATTCCAACAGATCCAGCAACAACCAGATACAAGGGAATGAGCCACTCAGCGGGACAGTCATGGAAATATAGGCTGCCTACAAAAATAATACTTCAAAGTCAATACGGAGTCAGTTAGGTAAGGAAAAGAGCATATATTTATAACTCATCTCACAGTGAATTTTATGTAATTTATCTAGACTCTGGGCTTGATTTTCTACAGTTTGGCCAAGACATAGATTAATGTTTATTAAAAATGCAAGGAGATTTAAACAACGATTTTCAGATATTAGAACAACTTTTACCTTTCAAGCAAAGGTTAATATACATACCAACTCCAGTTTTCCAAATACATGTATTTTATTTTGAATACTTATTGAATGCTTTTTATTTCATTTATTGCCAAAGCAAACAAACTTACCCATGACAATCATTGAGATTGGTACAGCGAGAATAATTCCAAGACAAATGGTACAGCCCACTGAAGGAAAAAAAATCATTAGTTAATATGATAACATCATGTTTTTGTTTCTGTTTTTACTACATTATTGTAACACACAAGGGTCTGTCATGCTTTAAATTAAGTATTATCACAAAGAGAAAGAAACTATAAAATTAAAAATTTTAAAAAGTAGTCAAAGGTCAATTTCAGGGAAAATGAAGAATAATGCCATCTTTATAAAGTTCATAATGCAGATTAATATCGATGAAACTAAGTTCTTTTTTTCACCAAAATCAAAAAGTCAGGCAACTCCAGAGGTGGTATTAAAATATTTCATAGTGAATAGTATGAAAAATTAAATCAGAGACTATTTTTAATTTTTAGACAACTAGCTATCATGCAGCTTGTATGCTTAATTTTTTTTTAATTTTATCAATTTCAAGATAAATATAAAAACAGATTATGAAAATATGTACTGAATATACATTACCTTGTCATTATTTACTAAATTAACATATAAAGTTAGAAAATGTAACAAATGACCACAATAGCTAGGTAAAACTAAAATCAAACAAAAAATTTAGTAACCAAACTGAATGCCCTAATCGAAAGTTAAATATTGTGAATTTTGAGTTTTCATAATTTCTTAAAAATAACTCTTATATAAGGATTGTTCATGTAATTTACACTTCCCGCATATCATCAACCCTAAGATTAACGATTACTTACAAGTTCCCATGACGATTGTCAGGATTTTTTTGAAGAACTGTGGTTTGCTTTCTGATTGGAGCTGGGCTGCTTTGACACGTCCATACAGGGATTCGTATGATGGAGGGGGCTCTACCAATAGAAAATACCATGTACAGATCACTATAATGGAAATACATGCAGCTCCTTATAGCATATATGCATTCAGTTACATGTAGTTACATGTAGGTATATTTTACATATGAAAAACATTTACTTACTTAACCTTCACATTATATTACATTTATTCAGTAAACGAATGACCTTACCACTGGGTGTAGAGGTCTGACTCTCTGGGTCAGAGTATCTTGGAGGCTGGGCATCCAATCCTTTTATGGATTCATTCTCCCTGTTGGCTTGTTCATAAGAAGGAGGGGCACCTGGGGATGCCTGTCATGAATGATAAACAATGTATAAATCAACATGAATGAAGACATGTTAATTGACAAAGACCATCAACTAAAACAGTTTTAAACAGGTCCAGTCCAAAGACTATTTCTACCTACATAGATAATAGCTACGTAGGTATTTAAACCTACTCAAAGTAGCTATTTTTACCAACTTTCTGCTTTACTTGGAGTTTATGGCCAAATACAGGAACGGCGCTAAATGGTAAGCTCAAAATTCCTTGATACAGTCAACCAATGATGGATGTGACAAAATTTTGGCAAAAAAATGATTACTTCTTAAATTGTCAATTTAACATTAGTTTCTATACAAAATTGTTAATTTATGAAGTAATCATTTTTTGGCCAAATTTTTGTCATATCCATCATCATAATCCCTGTTGAGATTCTGCTGGGTTGCGACAGCATCAGTCCAAATATCTAGCCCAGCAGAATCTTAACAGGGATTACCATCACCAGTGTGACTGTATCAAGAAATTTGGTACTCACCATATTGAGCAGGTCCAGTCCAAAGACTATTTCTACCTACGTAGGTATTAATAGCTACCTAGGTATTTAAAGCTACCAAAAGTAGCTATTTTTACCTACTTTATATAATTTCTGCATTTTGCGACCAAAAGACCAAACGGCGCAACATGATGAATACCATATTTTTTGATACGGTCACACTAATGATGAATACGACAAAATTTTGGCCAAAAAATGATTACTTCCTGAATTGGCAATTTTACATTAGTTTCTATGCAAAATTGATAATATACGAAGTTTTCATTTTTTGGCCAAATTTTTGTCATATTCATCATCAGTGTGACTGTATCAAGAAATTTTGTGCTCATCGTGTTGCGCCGTTCCTGCATTTGGCCACAAAATGCAATTAAAGCAGAAAGTAAGTAAAAATAGCTACTTTGGGTAGCTTTAAATACCTAGGTAGCTATTAATACCTACGTAGGTAGAAATAGGAAGAAACATAAGTAATTCAATATGAGGAAAAAAATGCTGTCAATATTGATGCAGTTTTCTTTAAATTACGATCATAATTTAATTATAATCTCCCTTCTAGACAGTTCATAACAGAGTTTTTTTTTTATCCTGAAAAATCTAAGTTATCAATTACATAGAGTAGAAAATAGTGATTTTAACCTAATATGTTCCCCTACTCGGCTCTAGCTGATCCCATACTTTCAAAATCAAAACAAAAGCATGAAATTGTTATTAATTAAATCAGGGGCTTATCAACAATTGCATCTGCATGCAAAAGTTATATTATGGGAGTAATGAGTGTTTTCTGGCGATCGTTTGTGACAATTATTTTTACATTTCTAGTCTTCATGAAAATTCACGAACATTCATTACCTCGAACTATTAAGTTTTTTTCTTTAAACTGAAAATTACCAATATTCATATTTGTTCATCATTTGTTCATGAAATATGAATTATGAATGTTTTCATGAATTTTATTCATGAACTACTTTTATGAACCTGTTAAGAATCCTTTAAGAACCATTCATGAACAATTATGAACAACTCATAAAGGTTCTTAAAATCATGAATATCATTTCGCAGGGGCATTCATGACAATTCAAACACCACAGAATAAAAGTTGATGATACTTCCACACATTCTTTATTACATAATGTCATTTTACTCCTTATTATTTACCATTTGATCTGACACTTGTTTCGGGTCTGCCAGAGAAAAACATCCACAATACAATTAATATTTATATCAATTACATTTGTCAACATTTTATTTTTTATGTGTGAGAAAGTTGTGCTTTTTTAAAATTTCACTCTGCATCTATTATGCAAAAGCAAAAGCTTTTCCATTTTGTAGACATTTTAAGATCATTAATTGTATTATGTTGAATCTGTTTACACATACCCGAATTTATCTCTCTCAAATCTCCTGTAGGGTCCCAGGTATACATTGTATCATCCTTTTGTATGTCTGTTTTTCTGTCTGCATATCTGTGTTCACCTTTTAAAAACATTTTTGTCACAATCTCAAGAGCAGGGACAAAGGTGGTTTGGTTTAAATTAAGAATTTGAATAAAAATCGTCCGCCACGTGGCACAATGTTCGGAACGTTTTATCTAGGGTTTCAGAGTAAGTTTTT